AGTTCTGATCATCCCACTATAGGCAGGATATTAATTAGAAAGACTGCAGAAAAGATTTACTAGGATGCTACCTGGACTGGAAGGTTTGAATTATAAGGAGAGGTTGAATATGTTTTTTCCACGGAGCGTACGAGACTGAGGGGTGACCTTACTGAGGTCTGTAAAATCATGAGAGGCATAGATGAGGTAGACAGCCAGCAGCCTATCCCCATGGTAGCGGAGTCTATAACTAGAGAGCATAGGTTTAAGGTGATGGGACGAGATCCAAAAGGGTCCAGAGGTGTATTTTTTTTTTACACAGAGGGTGGTGAGTGTCTGGAATGGGCTGCCAGAGGAAGTGGTAGAAGCAAGCACAATTTCATAATTTAAGAAACATTTAGACGGGTACATGGATGGGATAGGTATGGAGGGATATGGACCAAATGCAGGCAAATGGGACTAGTTTAATTGTGAAAACTGGACAGCATGGGCAAGTTGGACCGAAGGGCCTGTTTCCATGCCACAGACCTCTATGACTCCTATACAATATACTGGAGTTTGTTCAAATGAATAGGCTATTTGATACCAAGATGGAGTTCAGTTATCTAGACAAAGAATTCCCATTATTATCATTTGCTATATTATGTTGCTCTATTGCTCTACTGACATATCAAGATGTTTTTCTATCTTCTGCACAAGAGTGTTGCCACGTCCTACGCAGCTCTAAACCTGCTGCTGTATTCTGCCAACTATTATTCCTTCAATCCTCCCAATGATGCACCCTACAAACTGATTCTACAACTCACCAACCTTCCTTCTCCACGTATCTTCTGCAGCTGATCGGATCAAACATCATAACAAACTGAAGAGCTATGACTAAAACAGAACAGCAGACTGGCTTGTCACACTCTTTCATTGTTGCTCCGAGACAAACTGCAACTTTGCCTCAGCTGTTCAGTTAACTAGGGTGTTTTATAGCTCAGGTTTCTATTAATTGACTGGGCTATTCATTCTAAAGTACCCACTATATGCAAGTTGTACTCTCCTGTTTTTACTGCTCAAGTTTGCGAAAACTAACCTGGATTTTCTTTTTGGCAAAATGAAATCCTGATTTGAATAATGAAGAATTGTGATTAGGAAAGTTATCTGGATTCTTAGTACCAGAAGGCTGTCACACCACTTAGGATAGAGTCTTCTGACTTGGTAAGTGTTCAGAGTGTGTGACCGTCAATGAAGCAGGTAAAGAGAACAGGATGGGAGTTCAGAACTGTCAGCCTCTGCAATTGTCTGACAGGTTTAAAGTTTCTCAGCTTGTTTGGACGAGAGTGCGGGCTGCAGGGTCAATGTGCAAACTGACCATAGCACCGTGGTTGAGGAAGCCATACAGGAAGTTGGGGTGAAGACAGGTGCAGGAAGATACATTGTTGTATTAGGTGACATTATAGTGAGGGGAATTGACATCGTTCTTTGCAGCAAAGATCAGTGTTGCAGTGTTACCTGCCCAGTGCCAAACAGAGGGACAGCTGTTTAATCCTCAGATAGCACTTTCCAAACCCACGTACACTTCCTTCCAAAAGGACAAGGGCAGCAGATACATGGGAACACCACCACCTGCAAGTTTCCTTTCGAGCCACTCACTGTCCTGACTTGAAAATATATCGCTGTTCCTTCACTGTTGCTGGGTCAAAATCCTGGAATTCTCTCCCTAATGGCATTGTGGGTCAACTCACAGCAGGTGGACTGCAGCGGTTCAAGAAGGCAGCTCACCACCACCTTCTCCAGGGCAGCTAGGGACGGGCAGCCAGTGATGCCTAAGTGCCACGAATGAAGTAAAAACTCTGCTCAGGGCAGGTAAGGAATTTGTCGTGGGAAAGGTTTGAACCAGTCTTCTAAGACCTTCAGCACTTTCTGTTATAGGGTCATACAGCATGGAAACAGACCTTCCGGTCCAACTAGTCCACATGGACCATGTTCCCAAATTAAACTAGTCCCTCCTGCCTGTGTTTGACCCACATCCCTCCAAACCTTTCCCGTTCATGTACTTATCCAAATTTTTTTTTAACTGTTGTAACTGTACGTGCATCCACCACTTCCTATGGCAGTTTATTCCCCGCACTAACCACTCTCGGTGTAAAAAAAAGTTGCTCCTCATGTCCTTTTAAAATTGGTCACCTCTCACCTTAAAAATATGCCTCCTAGTTTTGAACTCACCTGCCCGAATGAAAAGACTTTTACTATTCACCGTATCAATGTCCCTAATGATTTTATAAACCTTTATGAAGTTCCTTTAACCTCCTACACTCCATTGAAGAAAGTCCCAGCCTATCCAACCTACTCTTATAACTCAAACCCTCCGTTCCCATTCTGGTAAATCTTTTCTGAACCCTCTCCAATTTAATAATATCCTTCCTACAACAAGGTGAAATAGATACATCGCTTTGGATACTGTTGAGGAGAATGGCCTCACATGGGAAAGCAGCAACAGTAAAATTTATTGCAACACAGTTTGGTCTGCTACACAGGGTAAGTGTAATAAGTGAAGGAATGCAATTGTAACAGAGGAAATGGAAGAGACAGGCATTTCTGAGGCTGCAAATGAGACTCCAGGATGGTATGTTGCCTCCCTGGTGCTAGGGTCAAGAATATCTAGGACATTCTGGAGGGCACGGTGAAAGTCAGTGGTACATGTTGGTACAAATGACATAGGTAAATAAAGGGATGAATTCAAAAAGCACAATGTAAGGAAGTTAGGAAGTAAGTTGGAAAGTAGGAGCTCAAAGGTAGTGATTGCAGGATTACTTCCAGTGCCGTGTGCTGGTCAGAGTATAAACAGCAGGATGTATCAGTTGAATATGTGGCTGAAGAGATGGTGTGAGGGGAAGGATTCCAGATTCCTGGGGCTTTGGGACCAGTTACAGTCACAGAGTCAAAAAGGCATACAGCACGGAAACAGGCCCTTCAGCCCAACTTGTCCATACCAACCACGTTTCCTAAACTGAACAAATCCCATTTGCCTGCATTTGGCACATATCACCCTAAACCTTTTCTATCCATGTACCTGTCCAAATGTTTCTTACATGTTGTAATTGTCCTCATCTCTCCCACTGCCTCTAGCAGCTCATTCCATATACACACCACACTTTTTGGGAAAAAGTTGCCCCTCAGGTCCCTTTTAAATCTTTCTGCTCTCACTTTAAACCTACACCCTCTAGTTCTGGACTCCCCTATCCTGAGAAAAACACCCTGGCTATTCACCTTATCTATGCCCCCATGATTTTATAAGTGTCTAAAAGGTCAGACCTCAGCCTCCTACACACCAGGGAAAAAAGTCCCAGCTTATCCTGCCCCTCCTTATAACTCAAACCTTTCAGTCTCAGTTACATACAGACTAATTCCTGGGATATCAGGATTGACGTATGAGGAGAGGTTGAATTGGTTAGGATTTTATTCGCTGGAGTTCAGAAGAATGAGGGGGCTCTCATCGATACCTATAAAATTCGAACAGAACCAGGCAGGTGAGATGCAGGAAGAGCGAGTCTAGAACCAGTCTAAAGATACAAGTAAACCATTTAGGACAGAGATGAGGAGAAATTTCTTCAGCCCACAAGCGGTGAGCCTTTGGCAATCATTGTCACAGGAAGCAATCAAGGCCACAACATTTATTTCAAGCAGGAGTTGTTTGTAGCAAATGGCCTACTCATGCTCCTATTCTTTTCTCTATGCTTCTAAGAGCTGATAAAACAGAAAATGGGCCTTAAGATATTACTGCATCATCAATGCCTTCCTTAAAAATGTTTTCCTGTTTTACATATTGGTCCTCTCTGGTAGATGAAATTTCAGAAAATCACAAAAATGTTAAAATTGGTGAAAACCTGGCTTTGTGGATTCCTGGTCCCATGTTCCCGTTTAAGGACAAACTACAAATATAACATTTGATTTTTAATACTGAAAAGCATCATCATAAATACTTGTGTCAGCTGTGGCACAGTTGGTAGTAAAGCTCAAAGTAAAAATTCCTCTACAGCATAACAATCATGGTGGGTTCTCCACTATGTGAGCATTTCATTGGCTTTCAGATGATATGTCAAACTGAAGCCCATTCTGCCTGTTCCTACAGGTGTAACAAATTCCATGCAACTGTTTTGAAGATCAAGGGAATTATTCCTTGTATGCTGGCCAATATTTATCCCTCAATATACATTAATGAAATCTGATTAGCTGGTCACTGTCACTGAGTTAGTTGGGGAAGATTGTGGAGCACAAATTAATTACAACATTTCCTATATTACATCACTGACTACACTCTAAAAAATACTTCATGGCTGTAAAATACTTTGAGATGTCTCGTGCTCATCATAAGTGCCTTATAAATGCAAATCTTGCTTTTTTTCATACTTCTCCAACTACAACACAATAGATTAGAAGCTTAACTTCAAAAGAAGCCAAGCTAGTGGACAAACATTAGGAACAGACAATCACATGTGCACTATATTGAGAGATGTCCAGTATGTAGTGGACCTTTTGTATGTTAAAAAGTTGAAGTTTGTATTTGGGAAACTTCAAAAATATCAGTCAAAAGCATCAGTTAAAATACCTTTGAACATGTCAATGAATCACAGAATCCCTACAGTGTGGGAGCAGGCCATTCAGTCCATGCTTCCCTCCAAAGACCATCCCTGTAACCCTGCATTTCCCATGGCTAATCCACCTAGCCTACCCATTCCTGTAAAAAATGGACAATTTAGCATGGCCAATCCACCTAACCTGCACATCTCTGGACTGTGGAAGGAAACCACTGCACCTGGTAGAAACCCACTCAGACACACGGAGAGTGTACAAACTCCACACAGTCACCTGAGGGTGGAATTGAATTCAGGTGCCTGGCACTGTGAGACAGCAGTTCTAGCCACTGAGCCACCATGCCATCCAATGGTAGAGCATCTTTCTAGATTTCAAAAAATGTTTATTAAGCTATAAATTACTCCTGTAATGGCACTAGTTGAATTTAGAACTTTACTTACAGACAAAATACCACAAAATGGCTGCAGCTCCTCCGAATATGACCAACAGCAAAAGCACGATCAAAACAATTCTTGTTGGATCACATCTCTTAGATTTGTTCAGGAGGTCAATTCCTGGCTGAGTGTAAAGCTGTGCTGATTGTTCTGGAATTGCAGGATTCAAAGATTCATGGCACAATTGTGGGTACTGTGCAGATAAGTGCCGGCTTGGTGTACAGTCTGGTGTGGTTAAATCTGCAGGATATACCTGAAAATGATTGTACAATATGTATTGTTCAAGTATTATAGCTAACCTTCTGAAGGTTATACAAAGGTAACTTTGTTTACTCAAACTTTGGAAAAGGCATAATCTTATGGTTTATTTTTATTGGTGGCTTAATAATTTGACAAACATCATGAAACTTTGACATAACGGCTAAAAGGCACAGTACATAGATTAGATACCATCACATCTATATCAAAAAGATAAAATAAAGAATAACACAGCACAAGAACAAGCCTGCACGAACACACTTTGCCCTTCTATATTAAAGGGTCTTACAGGATCCGTATCCCTCTATTCCCTTCCTATTCAAGGGTTTGTCCAGATATATAAAGGTTACTTAAATTGCTATAAAATGTTTAAGTATTCAAGTTATATTCTTACTGTCATAAAAAGGATCAAAAGGCAAAGTTAAATCCTTTGGGTTAAATCTCCTCACGTTGTGAGTTAGTGGCAGGTTAAAATTTCTGTTAATCTATGTGATTCACACAGCTAACCTTTGGAATATGTTTGGACGACCATAATTATATATATAGGGGCTGATTAGGAATAAATAATATGGCTATTGTCAATGGGATTCTATTGTTAAGAGTACAGAATGCTATAATGATCAGCTAATTAAAGACTGACAACTATGTCTACAGACTGGGAGCTATGATGACTAGAGGTGCAGCAGACTTGGTGAAGGACGAAGTGAAGGTAAATGGGGAATTGGTAAGGGGCCCCAAATTCTAGAAATGTATTCTTGGCTGTTTTACTGAAGCTGAGAAGTGACAGATCATTGCAGACCAAGAACAAGAACTCCGTTAAAAAAAAAAGTGGTTCAGGTTGAAAGGAGAAAGGTTACTGAATCATTGACTTCAACCTCCACTAGCCCAAGATAGAAAAGGGAGAGATTCAAGAGAGTCCATGGTAAGTCAAAGCACTACTCCCAATGTAATAGTTGTAGAGGTTTGACTCAGTGTTTTGTTTCAAAGATTTTTGTCTTTTTCTCCGTATACATAGTTATTTTGATAAAAGAGAAGATCAGAACTACAGGTAGGTAAGGAATGGTAGAGGAATCTGGGCAGATGTTTAGATAATAAGCAAAAGTGTGGACTATAGGCTCACAGACTGTCCAGTTTCTTAAAGGGAATAAATAAGAGAAAGATCTGTTTTGGTTGCCTAGCTGCCACATGTATACCTCTCCCTGGCAACAGTGAGATTAAGTTAGTCTGTTCACAGTCCGTCCTCCAGGCAATTCCCATAGATCATAGAATCCCCACAGTGTGGAAACAGACCCTTTGGCCAAACAAGTCCACACTGACCCTCAGAGCATCCCACACAGACCCATCCCCCTATAACCCACCTAATCTACACATCCCTGAACACTACAGGCAATTTAGCATGGCCAATCCACATAACCTGCACATCTTTGGACTGCAGGGGGAAACTGGAGCACCTGGAGGAAACCCATGCAGACATGGGGAGAATGTGCAAACTCCACACAGACAGTCGCCCGAGGGTGGAAATGAACTCAGGTCCCTGGCGCTGTGAGGCAGCAGTGTTAACCACTGAGCTACCGTGCCGCCCCAATTAGGGATGGGCAATAAATGCTGGCCTAGCCAGTGATGATCACATCCTGTGGCTTAAATTTTTTAAAAATGTCTTTCATAGAATCAGAGAATTTTACAATACAGGAGGTCATTTAACTCATCAAAACTGTACCAGTTCCCAAATGAGCTGCCCAACTAGTCCCATCTTCCAGCCATTTAAATTCATCACTTTCAAATATATGTCCAGCTCTCTTTTGAAATCTCCTGTGGAATCTGCCTCCACCACTCTCCATGGCAGAGCATTCCAAATCCTAACAAGTTTTTCCTCATGTCACTCCTAGCTCTCTTGCTGACAATCTTGAAATTGTGACCTCTAGTTACTGACATGGCAACTAATGGTAACAGAAAATTCCTTATCCTGTCAAAATTGTTCATAATTTTGAACAGCTCAATAAGATCACCATTTAATCTTCTCTGCTCCAAGGAGAATAAGCCCAATTTTTCTAGTCCTCCCTTGTATCTAAAATCCCTCATTCCTGGTATCATTCCAGTAAATCTTCTTTGAACTCTCTCCAGAGCTCTTAACATCCTCCCTTAAATAAAGGTCCCCAGTACTGAACACAACACTCCAATGATTTGGAGAGGTGGAGCATCATTTCTTTGCTTTTATATTATATGCTTATATTTATAAACCCAAGGATCCTATAAGCCTTCTTAATAACTGTTTCAACTTGACTGGTCACCTTCAGAGAATCATGCACGTGAACCCCAAGGTCCCTTTGTTCCTGTACTCCCTTCAAAGTTGTAGCACTAAGTCTGTATTGTCTCTCTGTGTTTCTTCTACCAAAATGCATTATCCCCACATTTCTCTGCATTGAAATTTATCTGCCAGTTATCTTCCCTTTTGGCCAACTTGTCAATGTCCTTATGAAGTCACTCAGTATCATTCTTACAATTCACTATTCTCCTACCTTAGTATCAGTTGCAAATTTAGAGATTTTGCCCTTAATGCTCCTCGCCAATTTGTATACATAAATCAGAAAAATTAATACCAATCCCTGGGGAATACCACTTTTAATCAATCAATCTCCAGTCTGAGAAATGCCCATCTCCATCTAACTTCTGTTTCCTATGTTTTAAACAACTTCTAATCCATACTGCCAAGGACCCATCAATCCCAAACATTTAAAATTTGCTGACTAACCTGCCATGTGGCCCCGAAACAAATGCTTTCTGCAAGTTCAAATAGTTCACAACATCTAAAGGACTACACTCATCCACTGTCTGCGTCACCTCAAAGAACTCAATTAAATTTATTCGACATGACCTGCCGTTGACAAATCCATGTCAACTGTCTAGTATTAACCTATTTTTCTCTAGTGTATATAAGGGTATATTTACCTTATTCCGTATTATGGCCTCCATCAGTTTTCCCATGACTGATCTCAAGCTGACTAGTCTGTAGTTTCCTGGGTTATCCTGTGCCTCTTTCTTAATCAATGGTGTCACATTTGCAATCCTCCTGTCCCCCAAAACTAATGTCGTGTTCAGAGGCCTGGAAAATTTCTGTCAATGGTCATGTACAATCCCAAGGTGAGCATCTGACCTCATATCCATGCTATCAATAAGATCACCAATTTTCACCTCCAAAATGTTGCTTGGTTTCAGCTCATCTACTGCTCAACCACTCTTCCATGCAACTAGTACCACTGAGGTTGTTGACGTGCTCGCCAAGTGGCTTGTTCTCGTTCAGATGTTTCGTCACCATGCTAGGTGACATCATCAGTGGAGCCTCCGATGAAGCTCTAGTGCTTTTCTCTCTAATGTGTTCGGGTTGTCCCCTTTGTTCCTTCTGTGTAGTGCGGGGGGGATTATAGTTTGTCAGATGGCTTGTTGTGTTTTGTCCGTGTGTCTGTTGTCTTTTAATATAGTCTCCAGGGTGGCCATGAAGTCTGTTCTGTTTGCATCTTTATGGTTATAGTTCAGTCTGTGTAATAGGACAGCTTTCTCAGCTTCATCCGAGGCTCCACTGAAGATGTCACCTAGCATGGTGATGAAACATCTGAACGAGAACAAGCCAGCACGTTGAGCAAGTCAACAACCTCACCCACAAATCAAGCTACAGATCTTTGCCCAAACTTTAAACTGTTACTTCTACTTGATTATTTTAATGCATTCCTTGTTGTACCCTCCATAAACTTGAAGTTATCCAAAACACTGCTGTTCATGTTTGAACTCACTGCAATCCCTGTTCCCCTATTAACCCTATGCTTATTAACCTATGCTAGCTCCCAATTAGTGAACATCTTGATTGAAAATGCTCATCTTTGTTTCCAAATCCTTCCATGAACTCAGCCATTCCTATATCTGTACTATCCTCAACCTCCATTCACCCCGAGACATCAGCTCACCTAATTTCGGCTTCTTGTGCATTTCAGTTATAACTGCTTCACCAACAATAGCCATCCCTCCAGTTGACCAGGCCACAAGCTCAGGAACCCATCCCTACACCTCTCTGTCCTATTTAAGGTGTATATAGGTCAATTCCATCCTTTGAGGCTCAGTAAGCCTATAAAAAGAAATAGTTCTGTACAAATGTGGAATGTGAGACCGAGAATTCTATGTTAAGTTGGATTCTTTTGAATAGAAATTACAATTATATATCTTCAGCTAGACAGAACACTTTGAAATAAAAAGGTCAGCATATGTAGCCATTTCATATTCTATGCTTCAAACACATTTCATTTTCTGAAAGATTGCTCTTCAATCATGTAAACAATTTAACTGTGACAATATAAGAAGAAAAGTTAACACTTGTTTTAAAGCTGGAACTGATTTCATTGTCATCCAGAAATTAAACTTATGATGCAATACACACAAAGCTTTGGAGAAATAAAGGAAACATAAAATTAAGCACATATTAAATATGCATATCTAAATATTATTCAAAATTGTACAACTGTCTGCCTTTCTAGCCCACATTACCATTATTTCCACCATTTTTCAGTAATGATTTTATTTCAATATTCAATTGTATTAAATTACTTTGTAAGGTATGAGAAGTATCATGTTAATAACTCTCACTGGCCATTAAACAGCTCTTCAACCCCAATCCCTTTTCCCACCATTTGCAGTTTCACTTACTTATGACATTTTGATTGATTACGGGTTTTCTATGTTGGGACTCCTTTGGCAAACACCTTTTTCAATTGTTGGAAAAATACTTCTTATCACCTTCTGTATTGTGCTGCTGCAACTCCAATCCTTTCCTTGATTCATTCTGTTGCCTCTTTGTCTTCCAATTTAGAGTTATTTTTTTCTCCATTGACTGCATTACTTCAAACAGTGATCTGGGCACTTTTGCAAACTTTTTTCCTCCACAGGGAAAGGATTTAAAACTTTCCAATTGTGCACATAATGGTTGCAGTCCAGGAGGCAGCCATTTAACCCATCATATCTGCAACAGCATAATTTCTGGTCCCATCCCTCTACCCTTTCCCCATAGCCAGTACTTTTTTTCTACTTTTCAAAAAATTATCTAATTCCCTTTTGGAAATCATAATTAAACTTGCCTCCAACACATTCTCAGATACTACATTCCAGATTTTAACCTTTTAAGTTTGTAAAAAGGTTTAATTTGTCATTCAGGCTCTTTTATCATACACCTTAAATCAGAGTCATCCAGTTCTTGACTCTTCCACCAATTGGAACTGTTTCTCCCTATCTATTCCATCCAGGCTCTTGATTTTTTTCCAACCTTTATCAAACTTCTCCTCAATCTTCTCATCTCTACATACAATTCTTCAATCTAAACATGTTACTAAAGTTTTCATCCTGAAACCATTCATTTGATTTCTTTCTAAACCCTGTCTAATGCCTTCACAAGGTTCTTTAAATGTATTGCTCAGAACTAGACATAATACTCCAAGCAAGTGTTAATCAGTGTTTCATAATGGCTCACAATAACCTCTTTGTTTTTGTACTCTACATTCCTATTATAAAGCCCACAATCCTATATGCCTGATTAACTACTTTCTTCACTTGCCTTGTGTTCTTCAATGATATATATACATATACCCACAGGTCCTTATCTAGTTATACCCTTTGTATTAAGTTGCTTAGCTTCCTCCTCCTTCCTCCAAAAAGGCATCTCGTCAAAGTTCGCTGCATTAAATTCCATCTGCCACATTTCCATCCAATCCACCAGCTGTCTACGTCCTTTTGAAGTCTGCTACTATCTTTCTGACAGTCCAAAATTCACTGAAGTTTCTTTGCTGCGGTACAAAAGGTAACTATTTAAACGGCATCCAAATCCACGTATTTAGTGACAGCTTTACTTTAGCGAGCTGCACTCCACAAAACTCATCCCACTGATCATAAGCTCCTCATATTTTATACAAATTCATGCCATCGCTTGTTCCCTTATTCCATTAAGTCGCAGGCATTTCTTCAGTTCTTATTAGATGTTAACGCATTTCCTGTTTCTTTTATAAATAAACATATGTAAAAATGAAAAAAACTAAATATACAAAATGACAACATACTACAGATCCACTTTTTTCATTGCATGTTAAAATTCCAAGCATACTTTTCCCAGTCCAAAAGTTGCTTAGAACTCACAGCTTTCTTTGTAAAATAATCAGATAGCTGACTGCTGCTATTGACTCATTTCAATTCGGTGATTTCTCCATTCTCTAGCATCTGTTTTAAATCACACAAATTATTATCAATGTAGCACTCAATGGTTATTGCTGCTAAATCTCTTTCTAGAATTGTTTTCCATATTACGGTGACGAAAAATGTCGTGTGTTCTGCTTCACCAAGGGCAAGAGTGTCTGCTGCCACAGTACTTTGTATTGCTGTCTGCTCCTTTTACCTTCCCAAGCGAAAGGGCAACACTTACTTCAGTTTCTTACAACAAAATTATATCCCCTGCAGCACTTCAGAATCCATCACACATATCTGCATAAGATTTGTAGAAGTAGCAGTATTAAAAACAAGATTTATGTTCCTGGAATTTCCCAATGCTGTAAATTTCAAAATGCAATGCTCCATCTTAATGTTTTCAATGTTTTGTACACCTGAATATTATCTTGCACCTTATGATTTTTCATTGTTGAACTTAAATCTAACAATCATATCAGAATTGAAACATTAACTCTATTTGTCTCTCCACAGACACTGCCAGAACTGTTGCATTTCTCCAGCATTCCCTATGTTTATTTCAAATTTCCAGGTTCCACAACTTTTTGCTTTTATTCTAATACATCAAAACAGTCTTGTTTGGGTGCAAGGCCAATTCAATTATTCAATCAAACTTCACAATTCCTCCATTTCAGTTTTGCGAAGCCCTGTTTTGATAAATGGAGCCAATATTTTCCAAATAAGATTGGTAATATAAAGTGGCATTGACTTCCAACCTGATGTTCAACTCAATGTATATAAAAGAGCCAAAAGCCTGACTTCCAATTTTGAATTCTGCTTTAAGCCCATTTGTAACAGTGTTTTCAAATTCACTGCTCCCACCCCACAAAAGAATCATCTCCGTGGATCATAAAGATGACTGAAAAGAACTCCTTATTATACCAATAAAACATGGCAGGATCTGCTTTTAACTGAAGGCAACTCAAATTTAATAAGGCAGGCCTTATTGAAAAGTACCAAACTCTAGATGTATCACTTAGGCCATATATATAATTATTTAACCACCAAAATGTCATAACTGTGTTTGGTGCCTCGTCTGAAGGACCAAGAAACACTTCACTTGATCTGATTTCCCAATAGAAATGCAGCTTTAATACCAATTGACTTACATTCCCAAGTATTTGCTGCTAACAAAGCCAGAAAAAATTCAAAATTGCTTTTCCTGCCATCAGTGAATCTACTCTTACATCAGTCCCCAGTTTTTCTTCAAAACCTTGTGCTGCTATCCTTATTTTATCATTATAAATACCATCTGGTGTCACCCGAACTTGTGCATATCTACCTATGTGAAAGGCCTGTTGTCCTCAATCTGGCACCTCACTGTACAATCCAAACCATCTCCAGTTCTGTAGTTCTTGTTGTTTGACATGTTTTATTAAGTCATCTTCTAGTTTGTTCGGTGGATACTAAAACGTCCTGATGGCATGTGCTTCTGCTTCTGGTGATATTCTTGTTTTTTCTCATAAAATAAATGTTTAATTTCTGATGAATGAAAGGATTTTGGAAGTGTAGCTTTAAGAGTTGCGTCATCATTCAAGAACTCCTTACAGATGTCTTTTTTCCCCTTTTCTAGATTTGCTGCACAAAATAAACTCTTTGAATCAATAGTCTGTGTTCCCCATATTTTTCTCTGATCTCCTGCAGACACAATTCCTCAAGTAATATCAACTCTTCAATATACCACGCAAGTAGTCTTCATGCATCAGTGATTATTGGGAGGCTAATTCATCACTGGAGGCATCACAGGGATGTCTTCTTCCTACATCTACACATATTTTGGAGTTTGGCATACTTTTCCGATCCCACTTCAACAACACTGCAGCCTTCTTTTCCAACTATAATTCTATGATCAGACAAGGACTAATTGATAACTTCTGGTCTGTGTTGATTACAACAGATAGTATGCTTAGCCAGTAGGCTACCATTAGAATTGATTTCATTAAAAATTTTCTGAAATTGAAAAAAGAAAGAAGTGCATGTAAAACTATTACCAGTTGATTTTTAATCGGCAACACGGCTGTGTTTGGCAACAGCAACAGTGTAAAAGGAAAACACCTATCACTTTGTAGTCCCTTTTGTCTAGGTGTAGGTTAACGTCAATCAACACAACTAGTTATTCCAAGTACATATGTATCATTTTATTTAATTTCTCGGTATAAATTCTCAAGATGTTCTTAAGAATACAACGTAGAGGCCTTCAGCTAACTTGTTAAAGCTGCTACTGCAGCATTAATCTCTACTTAATGTCACCGGATGGTATTGAGCCAATTCAATTGGTGGATTTTGTCCGAAATTCAGATTGGACTGAAAAGAAAAAAATGTGAGAATGAAAAGGCTAGGCGAGGACGCCGAGAAAGATGAGATGTACAGCTCAGAGGTGCTTTGAAAAGTGAGCATTTGACACCAGGCAGCGGTGCTCAACTTAGCATGACCCGTAATCTAAAGACCCAAAACATTTAACTTTGCTCCCAAAATCATTATCCACAACTATATGTCAAAGTTGCATGTCCTTAATTAATGAATAGTTTAACGTTAAAAAGAAATACTGGTGAGTCATCATGCGTGCCCATTTGACTTCGGTTCATCTCTTCAGAGAAAAAAAATAGCACCTCGGATGTTTTTACAAGTAGAAGAAACATTTTTCTTCCCTCAGGGAATTCCTTTCACTCACCTGGTTGCTGCAGACAGCGGCAGGCAAGTTTTGGCTGGGACAAGTAATGCGCTCAGCAGCTTCTCCTCTCATTTTCCACCCAAAATTTCGAAATGTAGGGAAAAAAAACAAAAACAAAAATCGCTTCACTTTGTTTTGTTACTGTTACATTTCTTTGCGAATCACCGGCGCGCGTAACTGTGGAAACAATTTCTTTTTGATTCTTTCTCCTCCTCTTTTGCAGTTGGAAGCGAGTCGGGTTACCACAAACACATCCTGAGGGAGAGAAAGGGGAGGAATTCTCCGCTTGTTTGGAGGGGAGGGGTTTTTTTTCGGTTGAGCTGCTGCTGCCGGCCAAACAACCGCGTGAGAACAAGCTCTGGCTCCCAGTCCTCAGCAAAATCACAGCATTTTACTGATAAGAATCCTTGTGGATGTGTTGAAACCGATTGGGACTCAAGCCTGAGGAATAACCCAGGCCAGATCCAACTCCTCCAGGCTTGGTTAGGCTTTCTTTTCAACCCGCTTTAGTTCTGGTTTGGTTTGGTTCAGACGTGCCATTTTCCGTTCTGCACCACAACCTTAACGGATTGTACCAATTCCAGCTTTCCCAAACTAATCAAACACAACTGCAAAGCCAGCCCGACCTCCCTATAGCCTGAGCTGAAAGGACATGCAACTCTAGTATATGTTCTGATTGATCATTCCCTAAGTTCTCTACTTCGTGCCAGTTAGAAAGTTATGAGGTCAAACCCCATGACTATGCTGAATGCGGTGGCATCCTAAAAGAAAGGATATGGTACTGGCCTAAAAGCGATTATTTTATTCTTCCCTAGCACACACTATTTCTAACTTCCTAACCCTAGCTAAGCTTCAATTAGAACTTCAGCCAAATTATGTTGAACCCCTCATTGATGGTGTGTGAGCTCATGTGCTTTTGGGGAAGTAGACATTCAATCCTCACACAGATCCAGGTGGAATCCTACTAAACCAATATCGACTCCTGCTCCTCTGATGCTGCCTGGCCTGCTGTGTTCCTCCAGCTCCACACTGTGTTATCTCTGACACCAGCATCAGCAGTTCTTAATATCTCAACTCCTGTATGTCTTATTAGTTGAAGATGCAATGGGGAGTGGATATTTTAGAAAATAAACTTGCCAAATTCAACTGATTACATCTTCCCTAGGATGTAGCCTTTCACGGTTCAACAAAGTTCAATAAGATATTCAATGCCATTTTAATGAGATTTTTTTCACCAAAGTTCCCACCTCTTTGAAACATGGAACACCAATAAAATATTAAATCAGAAAAAAAAGTCTCAAAGTCCCACGTTATAAGAAAATTAGATTGCAAATTATGAAAGGAAAACAAACTAGTCATAACATATCAAACTCATTGTTCATTTCTTCCTGATGAACATAACAATTTGTTGGGGAATTGTAATTTTAACACTGCCTCCTGCCATTATGCATCTGGAAATCAGCATCCCATTCTGTCCATAGGTGTGTACACACAATGTCATGAACATGAGTGCTTACTAGAGCTTACTTATTCTTTGCTGCCCTGTTCACTGCCCCCATTCACACTTTCACCTTTATTTGCTGCTTCATTCTCTGCTTTGTTCAGCGCCCTAGTACCAACCCGTGTCTGCCCTTCCCCTTATCTGAATGGTTAACCTGCTCCTTTTCACTTGCTCTTTCCTCCTACTCACCAGCCTACTCATGGTCGACAGCAAAGGAGCAGAAGGAAAGCAATGAGGAGTCCACAGCAGGGTGGCCCATTATCTCTACACTTACTCCCTTAGCCAATTTCCTAACCAGGTCAATAATTTTCTGTCAATTCCATAAGCTTGAATTTCAGTTAAAAAAAACTCTTATGAGGCATTTTATCAAATGTCTTCTGAAAGTCAATACAAAAAACATCCATAGACATTTCCCTGTCTAATACTTTAGTCATCAATTCAAGAATTTCAAACAAATTTATTAGGCATGCCTAGAGTTTACAAATTTATGTCAGTTCTCTCTGATCAGCTTAATATTTAGAAAATATTCAATCATTGTATCTTCAAATATAGACATTACAAATTTCCAACATGTTAGGCTAACTGGTCAATAAATCCCTGGTTTCCCTCGCTCACCTTTCTTAAGTAGTAGGAAAGATTTTCTAATCTAAAGGAATGGATCCTGAATCAAAAAAACTTGAAAGTTAAATAGTAATAACATATTTTATTACATTTTAACAATGGATAAATATAACATTAGTTATAAAGCCAATTGTTATTACATTGCGCAATATAGTTTTGCAAAAATGCTGCCCTGCTGTAGGTAGCACACATCAAAGAAGGAAATGTCAGCGTACTGCATCATGTGTTGTGAACTCGCTTTGAACTGCATTAAAGTCACAGAACTTACATTTATTTGAAATACATAGAGTGGAAACACGTCACATTTACATGAAGGAGAAATGCACTCAAAGTTAAGCAGTGTCCTCGTGGGTCTACTTGACACAAACTGTGTTTCAAAAATTGGAGGAGAAAAAGATAACACTGGAAATATATTGCAAAACTGCAAAGATATTAGAAATAAATAAAGTATCATTCCATTTGAAAAATACATATAGATATTCCCATAAATCCAATGTGCCTTTTCAACGGAGTAGAATATGTATACAACACTTTAATGTAACATAGCAAATCCATTTCACATTTTCTCTGAAGACTCCTGTTCCATGTTAGGGTATATATCTTTGAAAAAGATGTAGCAGACTAGCTTTGAGAGAAACCATCAATGGAAACATGGCTGAAAGATAAGTTAGTATCCCAAAATAAATATTAGTCACATAAGTTAACTCTGCATTTAGGGAACTCTAAATGGCATTGTCCCAGAATTCTGAGGCTCAGGCTTGCTGGCTTTAGGTACATCTGTTGGATCAAATTGATTAGAGGACTCAGTCTAACATCCTTAATAACATAGAATCCCTACAGTGTGGGGACAGGCCATTCAGCCCGTGAACAGCATCCCACCCAGACTTATCCCCCCCCCACCCTATCCCTGCATTTCCCATGGCTAATCCACCTAACCTACACATCCCCAGACACTAGGCAATTTAGCATGGCCAATCCAACTAACCTGCTCATCTTTGGATTGTGGGAAGAAATCCACACAGACATGGGGAGAATGTGCAAACTCCACACAGTCACCTGATGCTGGAATTGGACCTAGGTCCCTGGTGCTATGAGGCAGCAATGCTAACCACTGTGCCACTCCTTGTATATGGATGCAGTGGAAATGACAGAAAACTCACAAAAATTATGAATAAATTATCACTTGTATCTAATGGGCAACGGAACTGAATATGCTGCAAACCTTCGGCCAGGAATTACTGAAATGTTTTGATGTAACTAAGATGTGAAAGTAGTGTGCATGATTTCCTCTGGGAAATTTGCACAATCAACTTTAAACCTTTTTATGCTTAAATGTTGCTATGTGCATGTTCCCTCAATCATTTGGACAACTAAGACATGTCTACTGAAACCTTCTACTGTTTATTTACATTGCTACTCTCCCATGCAAAAGGCTAACTTGCACATTTACTGGATTAAAGCAACTAACACACTTGCATAGATTCATCTCAATTGGCTAAGACTTTGACTGGCCTGAAGCCACTGATATCAGCCCAGCTGGGATGTTTGGAATTTGCTTGCAATTTCTTCAATATTTATTTGAAAAGTCTCACTGCACTTTGCACCATAGTTAGCCAAAGTGCTCTCTTGACTTGTGTCAAGTCCCACTGTGCCTGTATATGCAGGGCTAAATATTATGGAATAGCTTTCCTAGTAGGTGCACTCTGCAAAATAATGGAAGAGGAAGAGCAGCAGATACAAGAAAGTCAAAGGATACAACAACATTGCAAAAGACAGTTTTCTAGAACTATTATCCCCTTGGTCACACTTCATTTGTGCCAATAACATACCAGTTCTTGAGTTTCACAGAGCCCAAATTTCCTTTGGTATTCATTGCCTAAGTTCCTTTAAGCAAGACTAGCATAGAAATGGGTATAAATTCCAACATGAATACCATTCAAGAAATTCTGGCCTTTTAAAGATTGCAACTATCATGTGACATTTGGTATATTTACATGTAGACTTTTGCAACTATTTTCTCATGAAATAACCTTGAAGGAGAAACATTTACTCAACAACATTGAGAACCGTGGAGTAATTCTTTGCTTTTAGGTATAATTTGGATCTTGTTATCTCTGTTGTCAATGAAATTCAGATATTTACTGCAGCTACTAACTTAAGATCAATTAATTTGTTTTGACAATTGTATGGGATTTATTGAATACATCAGTTAGCTCAGTTGACTGCAGTACAGTTTGCAATGCAGAGTGATGCTAACAGAATGGATTAGCTAAGTCACCATGAAGGTCCTACCTTCTTAACCTTGCCCTTCGCCTGAGCTACGGTGACCCTCAGGTTAAACTCTACAGTTATCTCTCTCTAATGAGGGAGGAATCCCATGGTCCTCTTACCTATTTATTGAACCTTATAAACTGCATTAGATTTTTTGATTACTATTATCAAAATGTATGATCTCTTTTCAAGTGTAAATACCACTAGAATTACTCCAAAAATAAGAATATTAGTGGCAATGTATGTTTATAAAATAAACTTAGAATGGAACAAGCATGTCTACTCCTGTTTCCTTAGACCTATGGTTTTATTTGGTACCGTTTGGTGGAGCTTAACTTGAAATAATAACAGACTGCATATTTATATTAAAATGTTGATTGACTCAGCATTGGAGTAATAGCTATAATCTGTAACTCTTTGTATGATAATCTAAAGAGGCTTTAATGCCAGTAAATTGTCTTGCCAAAGGCACCACTTGTATTTACACATAACCATTTACATGGTGAAACATTTTATGGGAGAATCAAGGGGGCACCAAAAATAAGGAAGGAAGTTAGTGAACAAAGGCAAAAAGATGAATATTTTGAAGCAGGAGAGAGATATTGTTGCCTTCATGTTTTCTTTTCCACAACTCAACGTTATAACATAATTTTGTCCAACTACTGAATGGGTTGTAGGC